CTCTCTCTCTCTCTCTCTCTCTCTCTCTCTCTCTCTCTCTCTCTCTCTCTCTCTCTCTTTCTCTCTTGATTTCTCTCTCTCTAATTTTCGATTTCTCTTCGATTGCATATCTTTGACTCTCCCTCCCTCTCCATCGCTCTCTTCCTGCCTCTATTTCCTCCTCCTCTCTCTTTCCACCTCCTCTCTCTTTCCACCTCCTCTCTCTGCCAGACTCTCTCGGGCGCGCGGTCTCGCTCTCTCTATCTCTCTTTCTCTCTCTCTCTCTCTCTCTCTCTCTCTCTCTCTCTCTCTCTCTCTCTCTCTCTCTCTCTCTCCTATAACATTTATGATACTGTGCGTGCGTCTGTTATTTTCTACCATGCATGCAGAATTAAACAAAAGCGCGTATGTTACGAAATCTCTCGCGTGTGAAAAATCTAATTGTTGTTAATAATAGATGCGATCCCCGAACGAAAGCGTCAGGTAACCGTTTAAAAAATTCAGCCCATGTGTTCTCTAAACTCTCGCTGCTATAATCATGATAGAATATATGATAGCGCCCTCATGCCACACCTACCCATTAGTCACTCATCATCATCAAGGCTTGCGAGTCGAACCTTTTATTCGCAGTTTTGATCAGATAGGGGAGTTAATAACACTGGAGAAGCTATCCCGATTTCAAACGGGCGTAACAATGCTGCAATGATCACCTGTTCTGAAGAAGCACTTTTACGGATACAACTGAGTTTACTAACAACATGATGCTCGCTAATATAACTGTCGATATCCTCGCTACGATCATATATAATGAAGCTATTAAGTAAGAGGAGACATCTTCTTTATTTCATCTAGAGTCTAGACCATATCTCTTCATTCTTGATTGCCATACGATTATGTTGATTTGTGATGTATACATCTTGGCACATGTATATGCTGCGTGTGTGGGGTGTGGGGAGCGTATATTAATATATATATATAATTGTTGTAAAAACAATTTTGCACAATTTTAATACATGCAAACAAACCATAGGCGTGTTCGTGCATGCATGCGCGTGTGTGCATGTGTGTGCGTGCATGCGTGTGTGTGCGTATGTGTGTGTGAAATTATGAACTTTTAAATGGAGCACCTGTTTGTGACGCACTACTGTGTATAGAGAATTTGGATTGTGTTTCAACAAGTGAATAAAATTCAAGCTCTCTTCTCGAGTGTCAAAATATCACCGGATCGTTCATATACTCGAATGTACGAGTACAAAGTGAATTTCACGCACGTGAAAAAAATGCTTATTCTATCACGCCTTTGAAGAGCACGAGTGAACCAGTTGATATTTGCATGACATTTGATGGCATTTGAACGGAATACATCATATGCAACGGAATATCTTGAATGTTCTCGTTCACCATCTGACTTAGATTACAGACGTGATGCTTTTTTGGACTGAACATGTTAAACATGAAAATACTGATATTCGCGATCGTGTGTGTAGTCTGGGAGAAAACCAGTCTTAATTATTATTCATGACCTGGGGTCATCGCACGAAAACGAGGCTAAGCTAGGCAATTTTGTAAACAATGGCTGCTCAGGCAGGCACGCACAGAGGGGGTACACGCACGTACACGCGGGTACACGCACGTACACGCAGATACACGCACGTACACGCAGGTACACGCACGTACACGCACACGAAGATACACGCGGGTACACGGAGATACACGCACGTACACGCAGGTACACGCACGTACACGCACGTACACGTACACGCAGATACAAGCACGCACGTAGCACGCGAGTACACGGAGATACACGCACATACCACGCCACGTACACGCAGAATACACACAGTACATGGCGGGTGCACGGAGATACACGCACGTACACGGGGTACACGCACGTAACACGCCAGGTACACGCACGTACACGCGGGTACACGCTCGTAGCACGCGATACACGCACGTACACGCGGGTACACGGAGATACACGCCACGTACACGCAGATACACGCACGTACACACGGTACACGGAGAGTACACGCACGTACACGCGTGGAGCTAGCCATTTGTTTACCAAAAGTTGCCTAGCTTAGCTTCGTTTTCGTGCTGACCGCTAAGGTCATGAATAATAATTAAGAATGGTCTATAGACTGTTATAAAGGTCCAAAGTGCTGCCCCCTGGTATCAGTCAACGGAAACAACGGGCATATAAAGCAACCTTTCCCGCATAGCCAGAAAAGCACTTACCACAGAGGATGCAGAGAGAGGATGAGCATCGACTTCTTATATATTAACTCATGTTTTACACGCATATGAAAAAAAATAAAGACTTAAAATTTCATTCACTTCGTGGTCTCACGGTATTATATTAGGCATTTCTCGCTACGAACGTGGAAGAATGGATCCAGACTGCAGCTGAATTTTTCCTGTCAGAAGGTCTAGTGCCTGGGTTATAGTTGCTATGCAAGAATCAAACAACTGGTTGTGTAAGCTTCCACGACTCGTCTACAAATCTCCATCACACGTAAACAACCTCATCATTCTGTGCAACGATCAACACAGCGGCCACGCGTCGAGATTCACGAACGTCGGAAAGCGGAATAAATACGCAAGCGAAAAGCAAGGGCATGCCACGACGGTGCTGACGTCGACCATCGAAACGCTACAAATTCATCATTCTGTCAGCGTCAGGCCAACTCAAACTCGAGCCGGTTTGTGCGACTCCTCCATCTAGGAAAATGATTCCTCTACATCGTCGTCCCCCTCCTCCCCATCGGGACAGCCGACATCTTCCTCTTCATCCTCCTCGTCAGACGTGACGTCCTGTTGGTCGGCCTCTGCCGCACACTTCGCGCAATCGCAGTTGAATAGGTAGTACTCCCTGCAACACGAACGTACATGCGTCACGATGTAATAACGCTGAGAGGGTCTATGTCTCCCTGGGTATTACTGCCGGAACGTACCCTGGTAACTATCTGATATGGTTAGGGTTAAGGTTAGGCTTAGGGTTAGGGTTAGGGTTAGGGAGTAGGCGTAGGCGACTCCCTAGACTCGTTAGTGGAGTAGGCGAGGTACGGTCCAGCATATCAGATAGTTACCAGGGTACGTTCCGGTATACCAGACCGTACCCAGGGTACGTTCCGGCAGTACCCTGGGGGACATAGACCCTATCAGCTGTAATAACGGTCGGTACAAAAACAATTCGGTAATCATCATCATTCTGCTGCTGTGCAGTTCCTTCAAGGAAACTCTAACTTTAACCATAAAATTGATGGAACCAAGACGATTTCGTAAACAGGTGTGCACGCTCTTCTACTAGTTCCGGCATCCTTAATGAAATGAGCCCCCATGCCATGTAATTATGGTATATAAACATATGCCACGATGCAATACACGGCAGGGGCTCATATATACCTATATATATACATATATGTGTGTGTGCAATGATATTATAGTAGTCATACCTGAGGGTCTTCTGTCTACTGTGACGGCTTCTGCCTCGCGCACACTCGTCGAGATACGAAATACAAATTTCCTGTGAGTAATGAGACATAGCGTGAGGCCACCGCAAGTACGTGAGCAGTACGGATCTATTAAATTGACTACGTCACGAATTTTCTATGGTGTATATTTATTTATATTTATATTTATTATTATTAATTTTATTTATATTTATGTATATTTATTATTATTAATTTTATTATAATTATTTTGATTTATTTATTTTTGTGTATACTTATATATTTTGTTGCAATTTTTTACATGAAAAGTACGTACTAACGACACCAAATGTATACTCAAATTCTTACCTAATAAGATTGTTTTTCAACGTGTTAAAAAGCCAAAAAATCTGGGTGATTTGATATATTGATCATGCTATGGGCTATGTATGAGTCGCGAGTGTTTGTTCACATGGAACAGAATAGTAAAATAGGAAGTATAATGCAGCAATTAACCATAAAAAGTTAACAGAATCACTTACATTTTGTGAAAAGGTGGACATCTTTTTTTTTACTTTTACTATTTATGGAGACGTAATCACTTTAAACATCCATCAAGAGCGTGGAGCTCACAATACAAACTATCACGAATACAGATTAGTTAACAAAAACATTGTTTTTTGGTTTGTTCGAATGAAACATCAAACAGAGAAGCAAGTGGTAAATATTGCCAGAGAATGCAGCTGATTGTAGAGTCGAGAGCCCGAGGCAAACCTTCAGGGCTTAAGCTCACGATCACAATCACGTTACTTCGTTATTTCAAATACATCGGGATCAGGAAAAGATATATGACCCGTTGTCAGAAACAAAATTAGTCTTAACATTAACTTTTTCTCATAGACTGCTGACAGAAACGCGTTTAAGTTACGAGTTTCTCACACGCAGCGTACGCGGGTCCAGTCTACGAGGAAACATCAATTGTAAGATTAATGTTAAGACTAATTTTGTTTCGGACAACGGGCTCCTGGCTTAATTTTATCGAACATGCGGAATTATTATTATTTATTATTAAATCTTTATTGCATGTAATTCAGATACAAATACATGTACTGACGACAGTTTTTTTTCATGGAGAAAAAAACCTGATAAATGCAATAGAATGCGTGCAAAGCGAGTCTAGATGCCGCTCCTGCAACCTTACCTCGTTGGCGTTAATGCTAGTTGTTGCTATTAGACACAACACATGGTTGTTGTTGGGAAAGGTGATCTCTGCATTTGGAATGCAGCTGTGATTCGCTGAAACCGAAAAACACAGTAACAAGAAGTAAAACGGAACTTTGTGCCGTGCGCATTATCTATTCGAGCACACTATTTGTAACCATTTATTTTTTGCTTAGCCTGGTATTATGTAACTTCAACTAGGCTGTCACTACACGCAAAATTAAAAATTTTTAAGAAAAATTAAGATTTAAGCTCATCGCCAGCAACTTCCAACCATTACGCTCATAACGATATCTGTTATAGTCCGGTTGCCAAATGACTGAACGTTGCAATTGGGTATATACAAGGTTTTTTTGTGGTTTCCGGATCTTTAGACCATGATGAACCAGAACCCACCCGATGGTCGTATGTTGTGAGTGTAATTAGTGTAAGATTACGTATATGCTGCCCGTCGGTTCACCTTAGAAGCCATGACAATTCCCCCAGCGTGCGCGCGAGCTACAGGCGATGGTGCCGGGGAAATTTCTAATTAAACAGTAGATGCTGCCCGTCGGTTTACCCTAGAAGCCACGACAATTCGACCCCCCGTGGCAGCGTGCGAGCGAGCTACAGGCGATGGTGCCGGGGAAATTGTGCTTGAGTGTTTAATGAGCAAAACAATACCAAATGTTTGAGGATTGACCGAATATTACAGAAGTTATTGCAAGTTTAGCATGCCTACCCCCTTAATTTATACGCACTCAGATGGGAAAATATCCGATCTGCATTTTTTGTGATAACAAAATTCCCAAGGGTGCCAAAGTGGCACTTGGTGAATTCCGGTTCAGGATAGTCTAAAGATCAGGAAACCAGGAAAAAAACCTTGTATATACCCGATTACAATGTTCAGTCAAATTTCCCTACTCGGCAACTCGACTATTATACCGTGATTCCTTGATAAAAAAAGGCCACAAAAACTAACATTTTCACTTTAGTAGTAATCGTAATAACAGGCTCCCGAATCAGGTGATGACAACTACTTTACTTTCTTGTAATAAACCAAGATGCGAGATTTGAGAAGAAAATGACAAGTAGTAAAACGCATTACAGCTAGATCAGCCATTACCTGCACTCTGTAGTAGGTACACGCCCGAGCCTTCGCAATTTAAAAATGGTCCGGTTTCTGAAAAGCATATGAAAAATCCAGAGTAATCACATTGGCCTATCATGCTCTCGACTACACCAATTTTGAATGGTATTTCTTGCAAAAACACATACAGCTAGGTAAGGCTGAACTTTATGGCAGTGAGGCCATGCAAATGTGAGGCAATGCATTTGGCTGCACTAATGTGCAAAACGCTGAAATGCAGAGCATTTCAACAAATAATCTAGTGTCAAAGAAGCAAATCTAGAGAGAAGCTACCAAGGCTAACCAAATCAGTCACTTCATAGGCTAAATTGAGTTTGATATATTCAATTTTCCTGAAAGTTTTGGCTTTGAATCCATTAAACCTTCACTGGGACTAAACACTAACACATTGTAGAAATTCTTATGTGATGGTTAGCATTCGTGAGTGGTGTCAGTTTTCTACAACAGAAACTTTGTCAGTCATTGTGATGGGTTCACATGCAAACGTGAACCTAACGTGTTTGTAGGTTCCGCGTATTCATAAGTTACCAGAAGCTATTGGTCTGAGTGAAAAAGCTTATTGGAATTTAGTATCGAAATTTCCCATTCTTATACCAGTTTTATACGTATGCGCACAGTATTCCTTCACTCCATTCAAAAGGAAATGGAATCAGTCTAGGTTTTACCTACAGATAAACTGCATGTGCAACATCAACTGCAGACTACCCACTATAATGCAGTACTTAATGTGTAGTAACTGTAGTTGCGTATTACATTAGGCATTAGAAACCCATTGGGTGTAGAGAAGTACTACATCATTAGTTACAGGAATATAGAAAGATATAATGGAATAGAATATAGAAATATAGAATATAGAATAGAATATAGAATAGAATATAGAAATATAGAATATATAATATAGAATTACAGGAATATAGAATATAGAAAGCTATAACGGAATAAGTGTGCTGCCATTATCCGTAATATGTAAATTGCATATCATATATATATATATATATATATATCATATTATATACAATCATTACTGATTCACTCTATAGAATGGACACCTGTCTATAAAGAACAATATTTAGTGTCACCTTCAGGCAACCCTAACATACAGGTTGTTAGCACACGTGTTGGCACTCATGCAACATCATAGCACACCTCTGTCGATATCCTCGTAAAGTTTATCTATGAACGCGTCGAGCTGTTTTCTCTCACCGGCCGGGAGGTCAAGCGTGTCACATTTGTGCACGTAGGCACTGAGTGCGCTGCAACGTACCAAAAAATAAATCAAAAAACAAAAACAAGTGGGTACGGACGGATGCCGGCGCATTGACAGGGTTGGCCATCGCTACTAATCGTGCTTTAACACGGCATGTTCTCGCAGCAAAATGCATAGATATACTACTGTGAGCTCGTCCATGTTGTAAAAATTCACTCTAAATCATTTGTAAAAAGCTTATTGGGATGTCTTAAACAGTCTTACGAAACTAGTACTTTCGAATGTTTACAGTGTTTACACATCCGGGACGCAGCCGAGCCGATCGCAGTTTTCATTAACAGTTATTTTCTATAATAAAACACGTTATAATTTAGTATTCGTGTTTGTTCAGTACAATGTTAATTGTTACATTGTGTGATTTGTTTAAATCATATATTATCTACATTACTTATGCAATCAGCAAACAAATATAACGTTTTCTCATCAAGGAACTACTTGCGCTAGCATAGGCATATAGTGTTAGCGTCCTCAGACGCATTGCTTTATGTGTATCTGTACGCCAAAACTCTCTCCGAGAAAGTTTCCAAAATAGTCAACTTTGGAGCACATTTCTGGCTCAATGAGAACATTTCTTGATGTTTTCATACTGCAAGTATGCTCACAGTAGGTGTATGTAGGCATTTTGTTTTGAGGGTTATCCATTTTAAGCATCGACAAAGCAGACAAATGAATCGCCGGCGGTAGTTTATTCAAGGATCGATAGACAATAATCACGTTGTTTGCGAGACAACTGCAGTCTTCACGAAAAACATTTTGAGCCACTTCCCCTTCGGGCAAGTATTCTGTAAAATGTACATGCCTCAATAATATTCTAGTTGCCTGCATATTTTGCAGGAATATTTTGCGATTATCAAGCAAAAAAATGTACACCAGTCAACTTCTAGACACCATTCGTTTCCGGGGTTAACATTTCCTAAATTTTAAATTGAAAAAACCTTTAGTTAATGGCCAGTTGTATTATAGTTTGTGCGTTTTTAACGCAGGAGTCCATCGGGCAAGTGAGCTTGCAATGTTTACATGCCCGCCGAGATTTCTACACGTCTCGGGCGTCGGACGCCCGGCTAAATTCGAAGACTGCAACTGCGCCGTGTACCTTGTTCCGACGCCCTGTCCGTTCGTCGCGATAAGTGCCAGGATGGATCGGAAGCCTTCGGGCGTGAACCACTGCAAGTGACAACCCGAGCTCCAAATTACACATGTGCGCCTTCGACGAAAGGCCGACTCGCGACATTGCGGTAAATTACCCACGAATGAGAATATTACACTGCATACCACACCAACACGGATACCAGGAACAATTATTGTTGGCCATGCAGAACTGACTCAGCAAGATATTTCTCACTAAAGTAATATGTTCAGGTTATTGACATTGACAAGACAATTAAGTGGTTATGAATTTCCCAGGAATGTACCTGAATTGTAGAAACTCATATTTCACTGGCATGCCGATACTGACGCAATAATCACCAAGGAAGCAATAAGTAGTTTTTATTAAGCTCACCTGCTGGGTATCCGCATCACAGAACTGGCTTGCTAGAACGTTTCGGAAATATTCGATCTGCTCCTGAAATTGAACGATCAAATGAATGGATCGCAGTTTTCAGCTTACTTTCGTAAACATCGCTAGCCAAATGACAGTAATTTTGGAATCTCCCGATTAAGAGATATCAGGTGCTATAATCTGTAACAACATCATTAACGTCTTAGTTTACATGACGTGGACTGACCTGAAACTTTTCACCGAGCAGCTTGTGCGCGATTCGGTCTTCAAAATTGAACGTTCTCGTTGTTAAGTTGAATAGTGAAGTCAGCAAGTTTTCCTTGTCCAAGGCCTGCCGAAAACAAAACAAATAGCTGAGCAGCAGTTGGCCAAATGTAATTCCCCGCACATATGCATCCTCGTGCACTCCACTATGCACTCCACTATGCACATACAGGTGTATGCACTCTTGTATAGATTCAACACACACGCAAGAAAAAAGGGAATACAGGCAGCCGTAATTAAAGATCGTGTCAGCTTGCATCGTGACGTCTTGGAGTTTGGATATTACGTGTACATACAGTTCTAAATAATGCTTGCCGGTCCCATGTGTTCAAGGCCACTTAATTTACATTCTGACTTTAACCACACAATGCCACTCACTGTTGTAAACAGCAGCAGCCCGCCCCCAGTCCGGGTATGGTAGCCTTTGAAGCAGGACTAGCTACTTTTTTTATGGATTTCACTATAGGTTATAGAGTAGAAATCACAATTTTTGAAATCGGGACACCGGCTGAGATTTCAGGCTTATTTCCAAGATGATGCCTTCTTATATGATACAGGATATATAAGGGGTTTCATGGGTTAAAACAATTATTTCTCAAATAAACCGATCCTACAAATCAAACAAAACTAGTTACGCGGCGCAAATATTTATAGACTGGTACCTATCTCGAAATGTATATATAGGTAAGTAACCTAGTGCATGTAGAGACAGGGTTCGGGTCTAACGAGAGCAAAAATCACGCGCTAGGCTTGTTGACATATGTAAACTAGACAGAGGGCACTCAAGGAGAGTGCATACCTCCGCCAGCATGTAACATGTAACATCCCAACTCCGTTGGGCGGAGGTAACAAGCTACTTTGAAATACAAATAGGTGCACATATTGGGGGAAAGAATGTTGTGCGAGTGTTCTATGACATGTTAGCCTTACTCCATTTG